ATAGTGTTCACATCAGGTATGGTCTTTAATAAAATTAAAACTAATAAAAGTATTGTTAAATTCTTTTTTTATATTATAAATTTTAAAATATATGTTATAATTGCAGATTACTATATTCAGAGGGAGATAATGTATTATTAATGTTTTATGCTATTTCATTTTAAATTACTCAGCTGCAATTTTTTTGTTACAATGTTCTCAATTTTAGTAATTTCCCCTGTGCATCATACTTTCCTGTTAACAATGGAGTCATGCCAGGCATATAACTAACTCTGTTCAGGAGAAATTTTTTGAATTGAAATAACATTGACTTCCAGTTTAAATTGGAAGTTCATATATAGTTAATTATATCTGGTCTCAAATTTTATCTATTTAACTCTGTTGTCAAGATTAAGGAAGGACAGACAGACAACAGTTGCCAGTGAAAATTTATTGGTTACAATTTTTGAAAATTGCAGCCCAATGAAACTTAAATCAAATAAGTTTTTAATTTTTTAAATGTCATTCATCTTGCCATTTTATTTCTTGAAAAGAACATTGAATATTTGAATGCATGTGCAAAACTCAATTAATCAATTATAGTTTTCTATAAAAACATCATATTCAGAATAATAGAAGAATGCCCAAAACAATCTAAAGGAATGTTGAATGTAAATTAAACAGAAACTGAATAAGGTGTAACAAATTGAAAACTATTGAACTCAACCAGACTTAGTTATTAATCATTTTTGCTTCCTTTGTTAATTTGAGATGGTGAAATGAAGAAGAACATTATGTTATTAATAACTTTCAAAAATTTTCAGAGAATAAAATTTTTGATTTGAATCACTTAATTATAATTAGAAAGATAAATGATCTAAACTACTTTAACTATTTGGAGTTAGGTCAAGCAGACAGAATGGAGAGGAGAGTATATAAATATGAGAGATATTAACACACTATCTGACAATAGTAGTTTTACTAAGCTGTAATAAAAATTACTTTTAATTCAATTTTTACTATTATTAGAAATATTGTAGCATTTTTTCATTTATTTTTATTTTTACATTGGTTTGAGACCTAATGCTGTTGTTGTGTGCTTAATAAACAATAGTGTAAATATGTTTCTAGTAGGTTTTATACAGTATGAACTGGAAAGTGAAAAGAAAGCTGTGATTTACTTTAAGGTGATATTTATCTTATAGCAGTAATCTGGATATAGCCTGTCAAATTTGTTTTTACTCTCTACTATGTGGGCACCAAGAGGTCTTTTCTCTAGCTCATTATGGGTTCAGCCATGCCCACAATGGCACATTTAGGTTGTGAAGCATGTGGCTTTACATATCCATAAAGGCGGCTATACACGATGGGTTAATCCTCAGGAGTAACCATGCATGCCTGATTTTGAGTAATTCCTGGAAGTGTGTGGGGGAAAATTTAACAGTTTCGGCGAACTGTACCGACCACCTGAGTAGAATCGCCCATACTCGTTAGGTTAATTCTCAAAGGATTAACCATGCATGCCTGACCTTTATAATTCCTGGTAGTGTGTGGAGAGAAATTTAACAGTTTTGGCGAACTGTATCGACTACTGGAGTAGAATTGAAAAACCATTTGATTTTCCTGGCGCAGTGTCAGGAACATCTGACTGCGCAGGCCGACCTAAACGTGTGTGAGAACAATGTTTCGTGAATGTTTGGAAGAATTATTTTCTATAACCTTATTAACTTTTATTATTTATAACCTAATAAATTAATTTTTCAGGTTATAAATTATTTTCGGATCAAAAATTTCTTGAGTAAATTAAAATTATAAATAATTTTAATATTTAGAAAACTTCTCAATTCATTTCTTCCGTTTTCATAAAACATCTCGATACTCTTTATCATTTTCTTCTACATTTTAAAAAATTTATTGTTTTAATATCCAAGTAAATTAAAACATGACAACTTAAAATAAGACAAAGTTTAATAAATTCTTTTTAATTATTAAATTATAAAATTAATTTGCGATAATAATGTTTACAATTTGTACTAATATCGGATGTGGTTGAGAATTATTAATATATATTCGTCTATAAAATTTAATCCATGAATTTTTTTGGTAGTAAAATCGACTTGCCATTGTCTTTCGCTGATAATTGATGCTTTTTAACATAATCTATAGCCCAAGATTTCTCTTGAAAAATTAATTTTGTGATCTGAAATAATTCCATTAAAAAATTATTCGTATGAAAAATTAATTTTGTGATCAGTGCTACCCAAACCACTACTACTACTATTTACACCATAGACTTCTATGCATACTTTTTTCCCGCGAGTTTTAATAGAATTTGTTGCCAATAAACATCAGTGGCGTAATAATAAACACAATGGCGTAGCGAACATAACTGCACCCGGGCCGCGACACTATATTGGCGCCCCCTCCCCCTCCAGAAACAAATTTTGTTTTTCTTGGAAACCATTTGGCTCCCCTCTGCAAGTGGCGCCCGGGGCAAGCTGCCCCACCCTCTGCTGAGAGGTTTTCTTTGTTTGTGGGCGATAGGAAATTCTGAAGTTCCTCAAGGTCAGGCAGCCTCAAAGGATTAACTTAACGTGTATAGCTGCCTTAACAGACAATACTCCAAAAAATTTTTGTAGTTTTTTTTCAACTGCCCAGATTCAATCCTGGGTCCTTCAGAGTGGTAAACTGATGCCTTAACTTCCTTGGCCATCTAGCTAGCAACTGCCATAGTGAGATATACCTGTATAAGGCCTGGATTTAGGGGTTAAAGGTAACCTGGTCTAGTAGACTGGACATTGTCTCAGATTCCATGCTAAAATTCACAATACAAATCAAATTACTGTAATTTTCTTTATTATAGCTTGAATTACTTATCCAGTGTATTTGAAATGTTTAGTTATTCAATTAGTAATTTGTTATAAATGCATATACTGTTAATGGATAAATAAGGCATAAGTTTCAAAATTTTGTACTCTGGGCTAGGGTCTAGCAGCCTATTATAGCAGCCTATAAATTGGCATTGCCTGTATTCTTTATATTTCTTGAGAAATAGTGTAACCTGAAGATCAGTTTTTTAAAAATATTAAAGAATAATTGGTTAATTAAAATTTTATTGGATTATCATGGCAAATTCTCTTAATTTGTTTATTATTTCAGAGCTGATCTATATTATAGACTTATGGTAGGTTGTATGACAGGCTTATCTATATAAATGTCTTAATAAAAGAATGTATAAAATAAGATCCAAAATTTGAAACTTGCTGTTTAGTTTCTTGCCTTAAATAATTTAAAATGCCAATGCACAACCACCTTCAAAATTTTCCCTTGGGTGACAGTACACTTTTGCCAGTGCTTATACAACTTCTGGAAACATTGCTGTATGACATCTTTTGCAGCCACCTGTAATGGCTCCTCCAATGCTTTTACTCCATTCAGAATTTATTCCTGAGGACAGAACAGTGAACAAGAAGCATTTTTTGGACATTTTGTCATTTCCATTATCATAAATGACATATGTTGTGAAGTTGACAATAGTATCTTCTCCATGAATGTGTGCCTACTCATCAGTCCATAATGGTCATAGTTTCTCATAGAAAATGGTACTAATATGATTCCACATCTCACATATTCAGCAACTTAACTCTTTGCAATTTTTGTCTTTCCACTGATGAACATTTGTAGGGACATCATTTTGAGTCATGAAATGATGTAAAACAGCATCATTGGAAGTATTTCAGGTGGTTGCAGAACATGGCATACAGCAATGCATACAAGTGCTGGGAAAAGTGTATTATTGGATATTCTATAGATTACTCCCTATGGAATTTTGGGACTTTCAGTATGTATCTGAACTCGGGACCAAGATGAGTCCAACGGTACCCTACTTTTTGACTGGAGACAAAAGATAAGAAAGCTATCAGATTAACGATTTCTTGCCTTTCACAATGCATTCTATGCCATTTTAGAGTTTTCCACCAGGTGGCACTGCTTGTAGTTCAGTATATGTTTTCTTTATTTTCTTTTTGTTCAAGAACTACCATGAATCAACTAGTGATGTTAAACACTGGGTGGCCTGCCGGCTGCTCCTTTCCGGGAAGAGTCCATCAGGAGCATGAACAGTTGAATGCCACCTAGTGAAGACTCAAAAATGGCGTAGAATGCATTGTGAAAGGCAAGAAATTGTAAATATGATAACTTTCTTATTTTTGGTCTCTGGTCCAAAAGTAGAGTATCGTTGAACTTGTCTTGATCCCGAGTTCAAATATATACTCAGTCCCGAAATTCCATATGGAGTAATCTATAGTACAGCCGTATTATCACCCAAGGGGTTATTTGGAAGGTGGTTGTGTGTTGGTTTTTTTAAACTATTCAAAGTAAAGAATTAAACACTGTCCCTGAATTTTTGGATCCTGTCTTGTATAAAATAATTTTTCAAATGTTTTCTACTCTCAATAACTCATAAATAATAAGACAAAATGATTTGAAAATATTTTAATTATATTGGAAATTTTGAACAGGAAAAATTCACATATTAGTTTAATACTAAATTTCTTTAAACCTACCTATCTTTTTACCTATTAATCTACCTACTTATCTTTCCTAGAATTAAATTTAGATAAAATTAAGAAAATAAACTGAAAAATTTTGATTATTAAACATTATACATTATTTTCATGAATTAAAACTGTTTAAACATTGATAGATACTTAAAAAATTATTAAAAGATAAGAGACATTCCTTAACAGAAGAAAATATGAAAGAAATTGCTGAAAAACTTCATGGATACACTGGAGCAGATTTAAATTGCTTGTGTAGAAATGGTAAGTCTGATAAATGACAATAATAATATAATATCTAGTTCATGGTTGCCTCTAAGCAACATTATGATGCAATTATGCAGTAATTTTTAAGAATTGGGTGCTGAAGACTTATGTTGTAATCAAAATTATAAGTTATTTTTCTTCTAAATAAGATCTGATAATAGCTGAAAAAGTTATGCATGTTGCTGGATTTTTTTGTTATGGAGTTGATGCTTAATTAACCGAAGGAATCAAACTTCTAACTTATGGAAGTCTTTTTCATAAAATTTGATAAATGTTTGAAATAGTGTTCACATCTTTAGTTTTAAACTGAATTGACAACTTCATAAAAACATTTTCCAAATTTTACATAAAAGACTTCTATAAAGTAAGGAGTTTAATTTATAACTTTAGTTTATTATATTAAAAGAATCAAATAAGATATCACATGAAGATACTGTTGCCTTTTAAGGCATTACATTGTACAAAAAAGTTTTGAATTTTGTACAAATTTATTATTATATCTGCTTCTTTGTCCTTTACGTCAGTTTTAGTTGTTTAGCTTGTCCATGAAAGCTTACGGTGCTTATATTAAGGTACATTATGAATGTGAGATTCGATCCGTGTGCAAACCAATTTTCCACTTTCCTCCTAACTTTTTGACATATTTTAAACAAATTTATCACCTTACTGTGAAAAATCCATCGTCAGAAAAACGGAATCGAGTATCTTATCAACATCGATAGAAACTTATAACTCTCCTCTTTAATGTAAACATTTACACATCTAAAAACAATGGCATTCTCATAATGCAAGACAAACTTTACAATTAAAGTCCGAATTTGTCATTTTGTTTTGGTCCCGGGAACAACTTTTAACCTCCATACCTGCTCCAATGACATCTATCTCCCACAACAGTTAATCACATGACAAATTTTTCCTAAAGAAGCGAAGCTAAAAGCGACTCCCCCCCGTGAAGTTTTTCATCTTCGGCTGGTCAAAAGTGATTCAGGTCTCAAAGGATTTTTGGACTGTTATAACTGTGTGTGTCAATCTACAAAAAGAAAAGGAATAATATTTTCTTCTCCGTGGAATGATTCTAGAGGTATGAAACAATTAATGTGAACACTTTCTCCGTGTATTAGGGGCTAGCAAACCAAGTTAAAGGTTCTCGATGTTAGTTTGTAATCATTAATTTTTGTTTAATCTAATAAACTGTTGTTTCCATTGTTAAATGGTGTCGCTTACTCGCATATTGCCTACACCTTATCGATGACCCCTCTCACCTTCACTCGACCTAATAAAAGGGATCCCAACCCCTTGGGATCGAAACTCGTAAACAAGCCATCCCCTGACAAGTGGGTAGTTTTCACCAAAATGTTGATGACAAAATGAGGTACGATCTCGTCATACCTCAGCATTTTGGACAAAGTTTCTCATTGGCAGAAGTTTACAGAACCTTCCAAAAAAATATATTTAAAACTGGTTTGACTATTACAAAAGTGTTTTTTTGAAAATTTATGACAATTACAGCTATTATTTCTGCTTACCTAAGTAGTATATCCTTTTACCTTATACAGCATAAAATCATTTTATTCAAACTTGGTCACTTGTAATGTACTAGCTTGATCTTTCTTTCCTCTTTACACCTTTAAGTGTTAAGTACTGATGCGTGTAATCTTTTCTAAACTAAGATAATAAACATTCAGGAATATTTGGTGTTATAGTGGAATGTAATTTTTACTAAAATAAATAAAACATGATAAAATATTTTAAGTCATAAATTGAAACACTGATAACATAAAAATAAAATAATAAAAATGATTTTATTTTTACAGTTTGTTTTATGTTGTTGAAAGAGCAATCAGATGATCTGGTTATGACGTTAAGTCATTTTAATTCGGCAATAAGAGAGATGAAACCAAGTGCTTTGAAGGAAATGGATATTCAGATTTCAAAGGTAAAATAAATTTCTTAGTTTATTTTATAAATAAAAATCATAAAAACAAGTTATTATAAAAATTTAATTTTGTCAAGTAAATATCAGTTTCCACTGTAAGTATTGTAATTATTTTTAACTTTTTGGAACATTGTTTACATATACATACATACATACATATATATATATAACTAGCTTACCCGTCGCGCATTGCTGCGATCTCAGAAGAAGCGAAATTCAGGCAAACTCGTTAAGATAAAATTAAATTTACATTTTATCATTTTTATTGAAACTTATTATTATTATATTATTATTCATTTTCATCGGGAAAAAACATTTCAAAGTGTCATTTCAATTCTGTTTATTTATTTGAGTGCTTGTGGATACACGATATTTTTTGTTTTTCTGTCTGGTGCGTACACGAATAAATCGGAAGGTTTTTTGACGCGTGAGTTGGCCACATACAGTTGTCCATGCGAGAAGCACGGATTCTCGAAATTTAGTCCACACACTCGCAGCGATTGTCAGAAGCGCGATATTCCCCATTTTTATATATATATTTTTTAATCCTTTATAATTTTAATTATTTAATTGCTCCTTCCTCTCTTCTTTGGCATGTTGTGATATTTCTGATAGTTGGATAATAAACCGTTTTATTGTAATTTGTCTTTTTAAATTATTTCGAGTCGATATTAAAATTTGGAAAAAGGGGATACTTAGATTGGTAAAAATACGCGAATTTCCTCTTACAACTTCGGTTGTTGTTCAGGGTACAGTTGAGGTTTTAACGAAGTTTGAGCAAATACATAATTAGCAAAAAAGAAAGTTTAAATAAAGTGATTAAACAAAAATTATTACAAATATCATAAATAACAGTTCACAAATGCATATATAGAGATTTTTTGAAGGTGAGAAATGGTCTTCACAATTTGAGATTGATCGAACACACTGTGCTCGAATGCTCGTGTAAACGTGCGCCATCTATCGTACGGTAAATGNTAAACATTATACATTATTTTCATGAATTAAAACTGTTTAAACATTGATAGATACTTAAAAAATTATTAGAAGATAAGAAACATTCCTTAACAGAAGAAAATATGAATGAAATTGCTGAAAAACTTCATGGATACACTGGAGCAGATTTAAATTACTTGTATAGAAATGGTAAGTCTGTAAATAATAATATAATATCTAGTTCATGGTTGCCTCTAAACTACAAAATGATGCAATTATGCAGTAATTTTTAAGAATTGGGTACTGAAGGGTTAAGTTATGATGTAATCAAAATTATTAAAGTTATTTTTTAAATAAGATCTTATAATAGCCTGGAAAGTTATGCAACTCATTACTGGATTTTTTTTGTTGTTGTTATGATGGAGTTGATGCTCAATTAACCAAAGGAATCAAACAAACTCCTAACTTTATAGAAGTCTTTTCCATAAAATTTGATAAATATTTCTGAGATAATTTTCAAATCTTTAGTTTTAAAATTGACTTGACAACTTCATAAAAACATTTGCCAAATTTTACATAAAAGACTTCTAAGTAAGGAGTTTAATTTATTACTTTAGTTTATTATATTAAAAGAGTCAAATAAGATGCCACATGAAGAAGGTACTAATGCCTTTTAAGGTATTACAATTGTACAAAATAAAGTTTAGAAAAAATACATAAAAGTTTTGAATTTTGTACAAATCTATTATATTATCTGCTTCTTGTCCTTCACATAGGTTTTAGTTTTGCTTGTCCACAAAGATTTACAGGGCATGTTGCATCAAATCATACTTGCTAGAGGCCCGCAATCATATGACAGAAGTGTACTGTAAACACTATTCTGTACACTAACAATTCAGCATTTTGGATGAAGCTCCTCATTGGCAGAAGTTTACAAAATGTTCTAAAAATATATATTTAAAACTGTTTTGACTATTGCAAAAGTATTTTTTTGAAAAATTTATGACAATTACAGCTATTATTTCTGCTTACCTAAATAGTACATCCTTTAACCTCATACAATATAAAATCATTTTACTCAAACTTGGTCACTTGTAATGTACTAGCTTGATCTTTCCACTTTACACCTTTAAGTGTTAAGTACTAATTCATGTAATTTTTTCTAAACTAAGATAATAAACATTCAGGAATATTTGGTGTTATGTTGGAATGTAATTTTTACTAAAATAAATAAAAAAAAAAAACATGATAAAATATCTTAATTCATCAATTGAAACACTGACAACATAAAGATAAAATAATATAAATAACCTTGTTTTTTTACAGTTTCTTCTATGGTAATGAAAGAGCAATCAAATAATCTGGTTATNATAAAATTATATTGCATTGTGTTAGTAATTAAATCATGACTGTAGTAAACATAATTACAGCTTTAACAATTGAAAATTATATTACAATGTTTCTAGATTTTAACAAATTTTACACTATTTTGTGACAAGCTATATTAATGCAGCTATAAAGTTCAGTAGAGATTTTTCTGAACTTTCTCATCAGTCATGGTTTTCAGGCCAATATACGAGGGTAATCTCAAAAGTAAGGTCTCCTATTTTTTAAAAAAATACAAAGAAACGTTTATTTTCAATAATTTTCATATCATTTTAAAGGTTGAACATTTATCTATTTTTCTACATGATCGCCATTTCAGTTGACGCATTTTAGTAGGCAATCTGACAGTTTTTGTAGACCCATGTGATACCTGCTTGCCGCCATGTCATGGTTTCCATCTTGCACACACCTTTTGATATTGCAACTTTTCTGTTAAAATCCTATGAATGGTGCTTGGGGAAACCCCAAGAACCAAAATGCAGAGATCATCCAGAGTGATTGGTTGATCTTCACGCATGGTTTGCTCAACCTTCATGACTGTCTCGTTGAAAATTGACAGTCTTCCACTTCTTTCTTTGCCGTGAATTTCTCTACAATCAGTTGCAAACTCCCTACACCACCTTTTTGACATCTATGCAGGACTTGCCATACACTTCCGTCAATTAGTGATGAATTTTAATCAGTTTAACACGACATGGCAGCGAGCTGGTATGACATGGGCATACAAAAACTGCCACAGTACCTACAAAACTGTATCAGTCAAAATGGCAATCATGTAGCAAAATAGATAAATGTTCAAGCTTTAAAAAAATATGAAAATTATTGAAAATAAACGTTTCTTTGTATTTAAAAAATAGGAGACATTACTTTTGGGATTACCCTCATATTTTTGACTTATTTACTGTACAAGTTCTTTTGATACAGAAAATGAAGCTTTAGAAACGTTTATTTAATATTAAATGAGGATGTTTTATTTTATCAAAAATATTTTTCTTTTGTTTTTGATCATTTTCAGAACATATTAGTGTAGACTCTGATTCATCTTATGTTTTTCTCCTCTTTCTGCTCTACACTATAAGGGTCTTTTTAATGGTACTCATCATGTGTACAATGGGGGTGGGTGGTGAGAGATGGGATTCTAAGACACCCCTTTGAAAAGTTCTGGGATTGCCATCCAGATTTGATCCCTAGTCCCCACATCAGTAGCCAATAGCTTAATCCCTCAGCCATTCAGTGTTTGAGTCTACACTGGTTCTGGCAAAACCAGAAAGTCTCAAAATTGGTTACTAGTTTTTAACAAAACTGATTCCAAACTGTGTCAAATTTAGTAGAATTAATGTTTTAATATTGTATTTCATTAATACAGGGGTGCACAACCTGCGGCCCGCGGGCCACATACGGCCCCTTATCAATGTTTATGCGGCCCGCGGACGGTACAGGCCAAATCCCTTCTTTCGAAGTTTCTAAGTGTAGAACTTTTCCCTTTCACAAAGTCATTAGCACCCAACTGTTTTATAACTTTCCCTGAAGTGAGAAATGGGGGGTNTCTAACTGTCAGTTTTGTATCAATTATTAAACACCAGTGTAAATTCCTACTAATAAGTTATGTCCGAGTAGACAGTTAAAGATTAAATTAGAATGCTTTTATCTTTTTTTAATTGTTTAATTTTATGCTTTATATATTTTAGATATTCCTAAATTTAGTCATCCCACATTTATCTGTAAACCAAATTCTTTATATATGTTAGAAAGAAGATAGTAACAAATATAATAGGTCTGTGTTATAATAAAATTACTGTTTACTAGAGTATAAATGTGATTAGACAAACTGTGCATGGACAGTATATGGGTTCATATTTTAAATCTTTCTCTTGTACATGGGTTTAAAATATATTTCTATGCATTTTTCTTTCATATATGTTTTAAGATTAAGCATTCCAGATAATTTTCATGTTCTATGTTTTCCTCTTTTGTTATCACTTTAATACATTACTATTGAAAAGAAATTGTTATGCTTTTGTATCATAAAAAGGTTTATTTTTGTTTAAATTTTAGTTACTTGCTTATTAATTTAACTTTCAGAAATCAATGCAATTTTCTTTATAGATGATATAATGTTATAAAACAGGTAACTGTTTTTTTCATTTTTTGTGTACCATTTGCTAAATTAAAATAAAGATATGTTGCACTCAGTGGGTGTTTTAATTTTGCAATTACATTGCTAAATAGTTTTAAGATAAAAGGACAATTTCACTTTTTTTATATTAGATATGTAATATATTTAGAGTGGTTTTATATAATAACAATTAAAATTTTCTAGGGTCCTGAACTGTTTAGTAAATGGGTTGGTGAATCTGAAAGGAATGTGAGAGAAGTATTTCTTAAAGCAAAAAACATGGCTCCTTGTATTATTTTTTTTGATGAGATAGACAGTTTAGCTTCACAGCGTGAAAGGTAAGAAAAATAAGTTGACATAAGTTATTATGCATATAAACTCTATTTTACTAATAAATAAATAATACCTGAAGTATAAAACCCTAGCATGTAAATCATATATTGACTCAAAATCCAACCTAAAATCTGCTCAATTTCCAATTGCTATAATTATATAAATCAATAAAACATGCATTATTAATGCCAAACAATTTCTGAATTATATTGGGTTATATATTACTACTACTATTATTAATTAAATGCTAAGTAATTAGTAGTAGTTACCGGT